ATATATATATATATATATATATATATATGACCAAATATCAAGAACTGAATTAGACTCAAATTCTACTGAGTGCCTGCAGGGACCTGAGTGAAGCAATGAGGTCAGCTAAGAAGACATGCCTAAGTGAGCTCTGCCTCCCAACCTGCCTTGCTCCTGCTCAAAGCATTGCTCCTGCTCAAAGCATTGCTTTCCAACCTGTTTTCAGTCTCAAAACATGAAATCATATGGGGAAACCCAATATAACAGTTTTTTAGGATTTTTTTTTTTGCAGAGTGAAGCATTGGGTATAGAAGGAAAATAAAGGGAAATAGGAGGCAAAGAGTAAGAGGCTCCTGGTTTCTATCATGAGCACAGTCCAGCCCCAGGAGGGCTCCTCAAAGTTTACCTTTAAAAAAAACCTTAGTCTAAGGTTCTACAGGGGTTTAACTTTTCTTTGTTTTTCCCCAAACTGGATGAAGTAGAATCAACTACATTCAATATAGTAAATGCTGTGACCTGAGTCTACGCAGAATTAAAATGAGAGATCACACACCAGGCCCCTTTAGATCAACTCTGCAGAATCCAAGCTATTCATGGACAAGAGTTAAAGGGTATAAACAAGCTGAGGCCAGATAACATGGATGAAATGTACTACTAAACAGGGCAGACTATTGAACACACTGTCCCCTAGACTGACAGCAAAAAGAGAGCAATGGCTCTAAGATTCTGAACTCCCAGAAAATGAACAGTCCTGCCCTCTGTACAGTACTCAGGTCCTGTCAGTCACTGGAGCTGGTCTGATCACAGATCACACAGTGACAGCATTCTTTCCAGTTACCAGATCTTGGGGTTGAACGCTTCAGCAGGACAGGGCAGGATACAACAGGAACACAATGACACTTCCACTGCTATGAGATCTAGGTTCCTGTTGTACCTCAGCTTAAAAATCTAACTGGAAGAAGACTTAAGCAAGGCCAAACCTTCAAGGAAGCAGCAGACCTTACCACATGTTCAGGTGTATGGAATTTAAATAAGGCTTCACTGTACACATCTTGAAGACGAGGCATTTTCCCCTGTCATTTTCTCTTGTCACAACTTCAAAGAATTAGTTTGACTCACTTTTCTGACTCTTTTTCCTACCCAAATCTCCCTTTTTTGCCCCCAAAGAAACAAGACCCTTCACTGCCTAGAAAAAGAGATACGAGAACTAATGAAACTAGATTTGAACTAAAGGACACTAACTGAATTGACGTTGGTCTGTTGTGGAAAGAGCTCCAGAGCACTGTCCCAACATTAGGAAGAACTGGTCCTGTACACTGTTATGAACATCTGTAAACAGACACAAAGAGGTAATTGTAAGTTATCAAGAGCTGGGGAAATGGGAGTTACCACGTAATTACCATTGTTTCATCTGAGTTACCACTTCTTCACCTCAAAACAACTGGTAGTCAGTGTGCAATTAACTCTCCTGACTAAAGAACATACATCAAAACAGTAGTAAAATCTGATTAAGTCATCTAATACAATGTAAAACCACTTACCCACAATCCCAATAGCAAGTAGCACAGCTAGTTTTTAGGTTGCTCACCTATTAAAAGAATCTGCCCCCAAATCTCCCAGCCCTTAAGAAATAAATCCACTAGCACACCAGATCAAAAGGCCAACTCAGCTCCAAGATTCCAAATTCACTTAGAATTGCAGATTCTTTCCCTAACACAATGAGTGACCAATGTCAGTAGGACTCATGGCTTCTCCCAGTGTTCAAATCTCCTCCTACCCATCCACCCCCTTTCAAAAGTTAGAAAAGAGCCATCAGTCTCCAATTTGGCTGATGAAATTTCAACCTACAGGATATTTAAATAATGTACCATTGAAATGAAGATTAACAGTAGAAAACACAATGTCAATACTGGGCATTTAAAAAGCCCAGTATTAGCATATAAAGTGAAGACCAAGATCTTAGTTTATATGATTTTTTTTGGAGACAGGGTCTCCCTGTAGCCCTGGCTGGCTTAGAACTTGCTATGTAGACTACCAGGCTGGCCCTGAACTCAGAGATCCACCTGCCTCTGCCTCCCACGTGCTCGGATTAAGCACCAAGCCTGGCAAGACCAAGATCTTTAACCTAGGCCCAAACTGTGTGTGTGTGTGTGTGTGTGTGAGAGAGAGAGAGAGAGAGAGAGAGAGAGAGAGAGAGAGAGAGAGAGAGAGAGAGAGAGAGAGAGAGAGAGAGAGAGAGAGAGAGAGAGAGAGAGAGAGAGAGAGAGAGAGAGAGAGAGAGAGAGAGAGATATGTGTGTACTCACTCAAATTCTCCATTCCTTTGGGCCACTCTTTAGTGTGAAAAGTTAGAGTCTATTTGCCTGGTCCTAGCTGTTCACTTTAGTCATTTACTTGTTTAAGACTTGCTGTTTGCATTCTAGCTAGAATTCAGTCTTTCAAATGACAAGCTATATCCCTTTGTCACCCTAGGACAACCTATAAAGCTGTATCCAAGGTAATTCTGACAATCCATCTATAGGTGGTATTGAGTACTAACACATAAAACAAGTGGCAAGTCCTCAGTTTCTGATTTGCCTTTCCCAAGCATTAAAAGGTTTTACTTAACATTTATAAGACTGGGTTCACTACGAATAGCCCAAGCCAACATTTAAGTCTCTCAACTGCCTGGCTCAAAAGGCTGATTCACTCAAAGAACACTCCAATCACTGTTGTGAGGTTTAGACATATTCTTTCCATTTTAGCCTACTGTGATATGGCTCAAGAGGGCCAAATCAAGGCAAAGCCTTGATTAAGCCTCTCAAGTGGACAATCTGGCCAAGATGAGGTTGAATTGGAGATGACTGCCCAACAGAAAGCCAAAGCAGGTTACATCCCTGCAGTCCATGAGAACCAAAGATGCCAACATAGTGTAATGGGCCTTGTGATACTCATTGTCTAATATAATCCACGGAGTGAACTTTTAGCACCAACTTACCTCTCAGTGGAGTATTATTAGTCATCAGGTGGACCAGACCAGAGTGGAACTATTGCAACATAAACTCCGCCTCCCCACAAAACACAATTTGAAACCTAGATCCTGATGGTCATCTCTGTAGACAAATAGAGGCATATTATTAACACATGCCCAATCCTTCAACCTTAAGTTCACACAGAGATGGAAGATTTATATACTAGCACACATTCAGAACACTTATTATACAATTTTAAATAACAGCATATAAGACATTTTAAGGAAAAAGAATGGTCAATTGAACAGTCTCCTTATTTTTAAACACATAAGCTCCAGATGACCACTGACTAACCTCTACCACTCTGAAGAGGGTGTGTTTTCATTACTATTATTGTTGTTGTTATCTTTATTGTTATGGTCAAACAGTAACTGCAAAAATAATGATAAAGGCCTTAGGAGAGGCAATAGAATTAATCAGAAAGGAATTTTACTTTGTATTCCTTCCTCCTTTTTAACTCCTATTTTTGTCTACCTAATTTGAGCCCTACTTCCACTTCTCTGAACCTGTCTCTTTTCATTCAATCTTTCACTCACTAGGCCAGCATCCCCGCCCTTCCCCACCCCTTTCTCCCAGTCCATAAAACTTGTGATGCTCATTCCAGCAGCTCTCTCAAAGAGCTGTCCCCTAAACTGCCCAGGCTCCTCCCTCCCTTCATCTTTACAAGGTGGACTCCTTTTCTTTCAAAGTTCAGTAAGTGTCACCTCAGGAAGGTCTCCCTGACTACACACCAGTCAGATTCTTTCTGCCTCATCACTCATTTTCTTCAACACTTAATCAAAAGCAGATTTATTATCTCTCTGTCCCCACCTTGCTTGTGTTCACATTTGTACACTCAGTGTCTGAAACCCTGGCTAGTACTTAGCAGCCAATATTTATTGAATGAATGAATTTTGGACTTTTCATTTAATGGCAAACTAGGCTCCAAATGAATTAAAGTGAGAGCAGGGCTCATTCTTTTGTTAAATTCTGCAAGACATCTAAATACAGTTACTTGAGCAATCAAGGCATTAAATGTTCTGTTTTATTAGGCCTGCAAGACCTGATAAATAGGATGGGACTTGGTTCCCAGCAGCAGAACAACATTTGTTATGATAATTCTAGCGATACTGAACATTAAATTCAGTTACAGAGACAGGATTTATACACTTTTCTAATCAAAGGACCCCTAAAATCTAGCACTATCTCTTAAATCTTAAAGTTCCTTAGAAGACAGTTTCATATTCGCAGAGGATGTCTTAAAAATAAAATGTCTCAACACCAAAACAAGAATCATTTACACTGCACTCTAAAACCCCCATGACAGGCTAGGAGGGGCACTACTTGGTGATTTAACAAAATATGAACGAACGAGACTTTTCCAATCATTCTTCAAACATTTCCACACCCACTATGGATTTGTATTCTTTTAAAAGCATAGCTACACAGACCACATTTTCTCATACAAGCCCACCACAAAGCATCTAGAGCTAAAAAAGATGAAAATCAGACAAGTCAATTGTGTCACTGAAGACGTGTGTACCAGACACACAAATGGAGAAAGAGATAAAAGAGCTATTGTCCAATTGTAGAAACAAAAAAGTAATATGGGGTTTTCTGTTCTCTGAAGTGCATCATGAAGTGTAGGTGGAGAGAAACACAGAAATCCAGAATTAGCCTAACATCAAATCATTTTTGGAAAGAGTTGACAACATGTAAATTCCTCACACATAAAAGTATTTAGAGCAGGAGACCTTGATTCCTGGGCTATGATGCCATTTATAATTCCTTGCAAGAGCTCTGGAATTCCAGGATTCATAAAAGAAAATGCTCATTAGAATTGGGAGCCGTACTCCCAATGTGACACAGCCTATAACTGAAGTATTACAAAGCTTGCAGTTAAGAGCTGGGACAGAAGCTAAACACCAAATTCAAAAGAGGTAGCCAGGGTACTAAGTGCCACAAAGGGGAGAGGTGACCACGGTTGCCACTCAACCACAAAGTAGAAACGGGTGTGTATGGGGGAGGATAAGAGATGGGGATGGAAAAAACAATACATTTGTCACCCCGTCCCACTTCCTAAACAGGATATGGGCAAAGCCTCCAGCCCCATTACCTCAGGCACAGATGGTTATCGTTTATAGCAAAGGTGCACAGAAAGGCCCTTAGGTCTGAGCCCCTTAATTCCAGGGCTGTTAACGATTAAAGAGAAGGATGGGGGTGGGGAGGGAAATCAGGGAGGAGGGAGCTGGAGATTCACCCCCACCACCTCCCCACTGGGCTCCTACCTCACGGCGCGGACCCGGGACTTTAGGACCAGAGTCTGCAGCCCCTCCAGGGCAGCTCGAGCCCCAGGTCCCCAGGCCCTGGATTGAGGGGTGCTGGCGGTGGGGAGACAGGGGCAGTACGTAAGTTTTCTGAGCCCTGCGGCTGACACGCCAACAGGCTCCCCTCAAAGCCTCTTCTTCCAGAGGGACCGGTCCAGACAAGGCGCTGATTTGCACTCCTCCCCGCTTTCTCGAAGGAACCGAACCCCCGCCCCTTCATCTCTCTGTGCTCCCCCCTTTTCCTCAACCAGCCCCCCCCTCCAAACTCACAGCTGCTCCAGAGGTTCCTCCAGTCAAACCCTTTCTGGAAACGACGGCGGCCCGGCGGGTCCAAACCACCTACCATCCCCGCTCGCGTTTCCAGAATCCCTACCCCCTCCGCCGCCGCCTCTTCTGCCACCGCGGCCGCCGCCTCCTCTTCATCTGCGGCCCACCGGCGGCGACCGCCCCGAAGCCCCGCCCCTCCATCGCCTCCTGCATCATCACTTCCGGTAACCCCGCCGGCCGCCGGCTCCAGGAGGGAGAGAATGGGAGAGGGGCGGGGACGGGAACTGAGGACGGTGACGTCACGACGCACGCAAGGACGTCCGAAGCCGTCCCCAAGTAAGGGCAAAGAAGGTAGTCGCGGGGAGGGTGGGCGACGACGGGCAGGGCTGGGCCATCTTCGGAGTGGAGATGGGGGACGGGTTAACGTACGGGGCGAAGGGACACTGGGGGAACCGGGAGGGCGGCTCTGCTGTTGAGTGCGGCGCCGAATGGGGTCAAGCTGGAGGTGTCGGGAGGTTTGGGACGCCCCCTGACCTGGGCCTCGTGCTCCACAGTGGTCCGCGCGGTTGGTTTGGCCCGACCTGGCCTACGAGACCTGCTGGCTGGAGCTCGGTCTGGTCGCGGCTCGGCACAGCTCCTGGCACCGCCTCCTCCCAGCCCGCTTCGGTGGGTGGGGGAAAGGCAGCACTGACGCAGAGTGAGTGTAAAGGATGGAGACGCCGACTCCAGTCTCGGGGGACTGGGGAAGGGGTTGGTTCCCCTGGGGCAAGGATGGGGTGCGGGTGTGGGGTTGCTAGGAGACGCGCCTGTGTGACCCCAGTCTCGCGAGGGCAGCTCCGTGTCATCGCCGCTGGCCCCCGGGGACCTGCGTAAGGGCAGTGGCACGTGGGGGAGGCCTGGCTCGGAGCGTGCAAGGGAATGGAAGACGCTAAGGGGCTGGAGGGGCCTGGTTTGGGAAGGTCGGCCCAGAGCAGCCCAGATGGAGGAATCAGACTTTGGGGGACAGTGAAAGCCAGTTTCCTAATTCTGTAGATGAGCAAACCTGAGGAAGAAAAGAAACATTCCATTCCGGTGCTTGTTTAGTTCTTTAACAAGTAAAGAAGCTATCAGCCAGGGAGAACTGACCCCAAGAGCGAGATGAAGTGGTGTGAAGGCCACTCCAAGATTTAGGAGGGACGCAAAGAGAAGGAAGGAACTTTGAAGGTGGAGAAAAGAGCCGGAGGGAAAGGTGGTAATGTTGGAAGTGGAAGGCAGAAAGAGACTGGGTGCTCTGGCTTGACGTTGAAGTAGCCGGAAGGGTTTGGCTTTTGTGAGTGCAGAGTAGTGAGCCACCTGAACTGCTTTACATTTTTAAAAATCGTCGCTGGGTAGGAAAGGTAGTTAGACCTGTTGAGATGCTGTTACTGGAGGGAGAGATGACAGCAGTGTTGACAAAGGCCATCGCTATGGAAATGAATTGTTTCAGAATGGATATAGGGGATTGAGCTTGCAGGACTGGCTGCTGACCTGCATGTGAAGTGTGTGGGAGAGGGCAGATAGAACCACAGGTGTCTCCCTAGGTAAAACAGTTTGGAAAGGAATATCCTAAACTGTCTTTTGAATGCAGTGTGAAAAGTCCATTAACAATTCCAATGAAGATATCCAGAAGTTAGATGGGCAATCTACAGGAAAGTCTTAGGTGGAGATAAATGTGGGGTTCATTCCTTGATCTAGGAAAAGGGTATAGAGAAGAGGAAGGTTTCCATACTCCTTAGGTCTCCAGACATTTAGAGACTACCCAGGAAAGTGGAAGCCAGCAGGAAACTCTTGACAAATAACACCTTGAAGTTAAGGAGGAGGCCCCCTTCATATGCTTAAAGAATAGGATCCACCCTCATAACCACTGAGGATCATCCCCCTCAGGGCCTGGTTCAAATCTCCCCTCAGCTGTCAGTGCTTTTTGACTTCACAAGCAGTGTGTGTGTATTACAGAAGACCCGATTTCTTTGATAAGTGTTTGTTTCCATTCGTCTTCCCAATGGACTACTTCTTTGTGTCTTCCTGGGTCCTGGTACAGAGCTTGCCCTTGGGGTCCCACATGCCATTAAAGCTGGGCAGGAACACAGTGATCATAGGTGCCAGCCTTGCAGTTGAGCTGATTCCGACAAAGGGGGTTTTGTCCCTGCTGTAGTAGCAGACCCCACCACTCTCCTAGTGGAAAGGGTAGCAGAACAATCAGAAGGCCTGGGTTTCATTCTTGGATCTGCTAACAAACAGGGTGGCCTTGGATAAGGTCCTCTTCCAACTGATGTGGTTGGTCTATATTAAAAGTTGCAAGCTGGCAAGAAAGATAATGCCTGCAAACACATTGTTCAGCCTGCAACGGTTTTTGTTTTTGTTGCTTTTTTTTTAAAGTTTGCTTGCCAGCTTTTAAAAACTGAACATCAGAATCCAGATTTTTGGCTTTGTTTGAAAAATCGGACAGTCTGACAGCACCAGTCTGAGATTCCTCGAGGTTCCTATACAGTAGCAGTCAGCTGAAGCTAGAGTCGCCTGTCCTTTTGAATGTGGCTAGTGTGCCAAAGGCACCTCTCCTCACTACTGCTCCCAGGCTAACCCCTCTGGACATTTGATTTGAGACTGATCAAGAGCTGTGCTATCCATATATAACAGTTCAGTTCCTTAGACACATATTGCAAATGTTCAGTAACCTCATGTGGCTAATCTCCTACCCTATTGATAGAACAGACAGAAGAGTTCCAGCATAGAAGTTCCATTGGTCAGTGCTGGATTACAGAACTGGAAGAAAAGAGTATTCTAGGTGCCTGTCATTTCATGTAAAATCAAACAATACTGTCTGCTCTGAGTGGACTTGGTCTAGTAAGGAGCTCTCAGACCTCTATAAATAAGAAAAATTGCTCATTTATTGAGTAGAGAATATTTGGAGAATTTTCTGAAAACATGATCCCCTATGAAGAATGTTTTTGTCCTTTGAATAGTTGGATGAGTAAGGTGCAAGAAAGCTCCAGCTGTTTCTGGTGTTGTCGCCAAAGCCCTTTTGCAGTTTCTGATCCAGTTTCTTAGAAGAATGTCACAAAGCAGGAATTTAAGTTGGTGTTTTGGCTCTCTGACTCCCCTAGTTGCTGTGGAGGCTAGAAGATCCTGGCTGGAGAATGATGAATGAATCTGAGCACTGGCTGGTTTCCAGCTCCTCCCATATATCACTTACTGCCTACTTCGGATAACTGGTTTTAAAAACCTCTGACTGATGTTTGTCTTTGTGTCTTAAAATATGCTAGCACGTGCCTATAATCCTAGCATTCAGGAGGCTGAGGCAGATGGATTACCACAAATTTAAGACCAGCCTGGTCTACCAAGCACGTTCTAGGCCAGCCAGTGTGAAACCTTGTCTTAAACAAAAATGCAGGTAAGAGACCATAAATTGATTTTCACTTAGAATTTCTGTCTTGACTAGGAAAGTAGCTGTAGGTTGGTTGGGTTGGTATGGCGTTCTATACAGATATAATCTTTGTGTGATCCACTGTTGACACAATACACAGATGGTTCCCAGCCCAACAAGAGTTTGACTTTCTATTTTTCAAAATTTTTAAATATTTTTATGTGTGAAGAACCAAGACTTTACAGCATACTGTGAAGTTTAGTTTATACTTTACAGTTTAGGAGTTTGTTTGTTTGTTTCTTGGTTTGTTTCAGGAACTAACACTATTCACAATTCAAGGACCTGTATTTAGAATGGGTATGTTTGCCTCCTATTACTTGGTTTGAGGTAGTTACTTTAGAAGTCTTTCAGGTATCCATATTTTGGATTTCCCCTTTGTTCTGATAGTTTCTCGTGTCACAGGGTCTAACCTAATTTCATTTCCCTTAGATAAAGTGCTGCCTACCCTCTGTTCCTGCGTTCATCTCTGACACGCCATATTCTTGTCACTTACTGTGTAAGAGATGTTTCACAGAATCCTTACGGTGTGATGAAGTGTTCACTATTAGCTTATCCTGAGATTTGGACAACTCAGTGCTTTCACTTCCCTTTTCAGAGTCTGCTTTACAGCAGGGCGTGGTGCCATAGGCCTTTAATTCCAGCACTAGGGAGGCAGAGGCAGGCAGAGGCAGAGACTGGTGGAGCTCTACCAGCCTGTTCTACATAGCAAGTTCCTGGCCAACAACAACAACAAAACAAAAGATTCTTTTTTAAGATTTTGTTTTTATGTATATGATATTTTGCCTACATGTATGTAAGTATGCCACATGCATGCAGTGCCCACAGAGGCCAGAAGAAGGCATGAGATCCTTTGGAACTAGAGTTACAGATGGGTGTTAGCCACCATGTGGGTGCTGGGAACTGAACCCAGGTCCTCTGCAAGAGTAGCCAGTGAACCCCTGAGCCATCTCTCCAGACCCATTTTTCTGAGATTTTTTTTAGTTTTATGTGTATATATGTACCTGAGTGTGTGTATGTGTGTATGCACTATATGTGCCTACAGAGACCAGAAAAGGATGTTAAATCCCCTGTAACTGGAATTATAGGAAGTTGTGAACTTCCTGATGAGGGTGCAGAGAACTGAACCTGAGTCCTCTAGAACAGCAGGTGCACTTAACTCCTGTGACAACACTCCAGCCCTCCCTTTTCAGATTCTAATAACTAAAAACTGAACCCAGAGTAGAAAACAAGTCCTTAGGTAGGTGGGGTGGTAAAGGAGGGAGAAGAAGAGAATATGTATATGTTAATGAAGCAGACCAAATTAGAGACCAGGGATATGTGGCCACAGTTTCACTTGAAGGTTACTGAGTTGTAGAGACACTGAAATGATAGGGGATACCAATGTATGCCTAAAAGACGGGAATATAGCAGATCTGGGCGAGAGATATATCAAAGGAGAAAGAGTAAGAAAATGATGAAGGAAGAGATTCAGGAAGAAAAGTCCAGTCGTGCCTTCAGTGTTGGCACCTGCATTATATTTCCAGTAAGAAACATGCATTGTGGTCTGAAGATAAGCAGTGTCTCCAACAGGGTTATTTACTCATAGTGAAGAACAGTAGCCCTTTACTGTACAGGGATTATTAATGATCAGAGGGAAATAGCTTTAGGAAAATCCATTATTACCACAAAGCAGCAAATT